TTTGCTTTAGTATTTTCCCCTCTCTAAGAACATCAGACATATTTAAAAGCAATTGTAACTGGCTTTATTGGGTGACACTTCACCTAAATTACTAACTTTGTGGCATATATTTATGACTTTTGAAGAATTTCCCTTAATGTGTTTCCAGCTCAGTTTTAAAACATGATTAAAGAATCATTAGGTGAAAATCATGGTCCTCTAAGCCCTCACAAACAATTCCAAGTCTTTCCCATATACCAGTAAAAGGTAGGACATTAAAAGGCGCAACTGTTTTTCTTTTCAAGAGTCAACACAGCTTAAAATAAAATTTCTAAAAAGCTTCTCATATTTTTTAAAGTACATTTCGACTGACCAACCAGTTATTTAAACAGATTACATAAATCATGGTGAATATTCTTAAACAGAATTTTTTTTGTTAAGCTTTTGAGATTTTATTTTTTCCAATCTTACTTTAGACATTAAAATGGGGAGGATGGAGAGAAAGTGTTTAAAATATAAAATAACTTATTCAGAACTTGTTCGGTTTTTAACTAGGGAATTTTATAAAGATGTCTTGTTACTGTTCTTAAATTAATTCTACATCAGAAGCCAAGTGATTTTTTTTTTTTTTTACTCTTGAATAGTAATGACACAGATTCTCTTTCCCAATAATGTATATATTAACTATATTTATATATCAGATGAATTTTCATTTCTATATCTACAACGAAGCCCTTAGTGCCTCATTGCTTAATGGCATCATTAATATTAATTAATTCTGCCAGAATGAGTAGTCAATATATCTTTTATTTTCACAATTAAAGCACACACTCACAATTTAGCTGTCGAAACTGCTATTTTGCAAAAATTCATTTTTAAAAACTAGCAGCTTCTTTTAACACAAGAAATGAAATCAGTCAATTGTCTGGTCACTGTAATTGAGCAGACATGAATGTGCTGACAGTCAATGTCGTAAGTGTTGTATTATTTTTCTTCTCAACCAGATTTTCCCCTCACATTTAACACTTTGTAGTCTGAAGGACTTCTGTTTTTCCACCAAAAAAAATAACCAAAAACTAAAAACCAACCATTCACAATTTAGACAAGCGGCTCCCAGGAGCCCAGAGAAACCACCTCTAAAGGATGCCCAAAGCGCTCACAACACATGCCTTTACTTCCTGCGTCTTGCCCAAGCTTCAACAAATCAGTGCAGCGTTCATGAGGTACTTTGAGAATTTCTTTTTTTAAAATACAAATATCCTCTCCACCCCTAAAGTACTTCACACACGCATCTAAGGGTAGACTTTTGGGCCCTAGACTATAGTAAAGTATATACCAGCCCTGAGTAGAAACCGGGAAGATTTCGTTAAGTAGTTAAAGAAAGACAGTGGCGTCTACACGTCGCTAACTTTTCCGAGGTATCTCCTGAAGATGCCTCTCTAGTTGCTTCAGTGGTGTCGAGAACACCAAAAACCGAAGAGAACAAGCCTCTTCCCTCGAGAGAAGGGAGGGCTGAGGACGCTTCTCAGAGACCGTGCCCAGTAACAGGTGGCCTGGTCCGCAGGGACGGGCCGCGCTCCCGCCTCCGCCTCCGCCGCCGCCCGGGCCGCTCGGCGATCTAGTCCCGCCAGCCCCCGCCAGGCTCCTCACTCACCCGAGCCTGTGCTCCGGCGTCCGGCTGCCTGAGGCTGCGCCACCGCCCAGGAGGTGCGGCCGCCTTCCTGCTCCCGGGCGTGGGCTCAGCGCCGCGGGGCGGGCCCAGGCCGCTAGAGGCACCGGGAGAGGACCCTGGAGAAGCACGTGCTGCTCTTCCGACGAAGCCTCAAGGCCCGACAGCCCGGACCCGCCCGCCCAAGTACGCAGGCGCCGAGACTTCCAGACGCCTGTCGGGCCACAGGGTCGCGTCTGTCCCGCCCTCAGCTTGCAGTGTGACGTAGTAGAACGTCCCAGCCCGAGTGGGACTCAAGGCTGCTATATCGCTACAAACGGAGGCCTACCACGCGGGTGTCCGTGCGTGCGAGGGCAAAGCCCAATTTCCTCAGTTCAATTCATCCAACAGCCAGGAGGACCACTAGGCCCCACAAAATCTACCTCCAGGGAACTGTGGGTGGGAGTCAATCCCCAGAGCTCGGGCTCCAGCAGCCCGGACCCGCAAAGGCGGGCCGGCCAGGCTGAGGGCAGGATCTGGGAAGCCCCGCAACCCAGATGTCGTCGCCCGGTCGCCCGCACGTGCGGATCCCGCGCCCAAGGGGCCGCTGTGGCTGAGTCGCTGAGGCCTGGCACTGCGTTTTCCTGAGGCGTCGCTCCAGTGGGGAGCTTGCGCAGACGCCATCGGCCCGTAACTCCCGCCAGTGTCCCTGCGGACGGCGCCGCCAGGTCAGGCTTGGCAGGACCGGGTTGCGTCCTTGTAGGGGACGCTGCTGAGTCAAGAGCCATCCAGTAGGCCGGAGTGGGGAGACTGCGACCGAGCCGGGCCCGCGAAGTCGCGAGGGAGGACGCGATGGAGAAGCCTTCTTTCCAAACGAGGCTTGAAGCCCTGCGACTTCACTGGCCAGACCCTAGAGAACCGGTCGTTTTCCGAATTCGGTCCCATGTTGGGTCGTGGGGCCTCACACGAAATTGTAAGAATAAAAGGATGTTGGTAACTTTGTAGGAAAGTTTTCGTTGTTTCCTTATTTCCGTCTCGCCCATGGACAATTCGAGCAGTTTCCCGGCTTCACAACCAGAAAGTTTCAGACCAAACAGTCTGGATAGTTCCGGAGTCCGTTTTCTAGTGGAGAAATGCCTCTCGACTCCCCTTAAGGGGAGCTGCAACTGTCCTCCCGACCCCCAGCTGCAAGCCGCTGAGCGTCTTCCTCCCCTGCCCAGGTGAAACGCGTCCTTGTCGACTTTTCCAGGTTTATGTATTTTGTGTTTTAAAGGAACTTTGCAATGTGAGAAAAGATCATTTGGTTTCTCCTGACAAGAGACTTAAGAGTTTAAAGGGCCGTTTTAACACGTGAAACGAATGATGCGGATCCCCCAGCCGCGATGAAGCCACCCAGGACAGCTCAGCAGAAAGGAAGGAAGGACATGGATTTTTTTTTTTTTTTTTGGTCCTTTTCTTTTTTGGCTCAGTTCTCAGATCATTAAAGAACTATCCTTTCCCGCCTCCTGACCCTCCTCCCCTCCCCCTCTCTTTTCTGGTGCAAGCAATTAGGGTGAAGAAATCAGTGCCAGGTTCCTGCACCTGAAGAGAATGGAATTGCTTCGGGGATTGAGTCTTGACACCTGTCTCTACCCTAGATGGCGAGGGGGGAATTAGAGGTCAAAGCGCCTGGGGGAGAGGCCACGCGGATAGGGACAGGGCATTCCCCAAAACGTTGTTTTGGGGCTCTTCTTGTCAAGTCCTCCCACGCTGTCTTTCGGCCTCAGCTTCACGCGGGTCACTAACGCGCGAGTTTCCCTCCCTCCTTCCAGACCAGGACCTGGGGCTGGAATCAGAAGAGTAACTGACAAATCATTCGTTCGTTAATTTGCATTTATTTTCAGGAAATAATGTAGATAAAGAGGAAGGAGGGGGTACTGCCTTACATTTCAACAAGTAATTTGTGATCTTCACAGCGGACAAATCAAATTTACAAATTACTTTCCCACCTACTGGACAAAGCGGCCAAAGCCAAAACTGATACATAGGCGCGCGGGCTCCCCACAGATTTCGGAGAATGAAGGTGCACTAAAAACTCACTAGACAAAACAGGGTTGTTCAGAGAGAGAGAAGGCCGATCGAGGAATTGGAACTGGGGTTTGTGGCCTGGGTTTGTTTGTTTGATCATAATGCGTGTATTTTGACTTTTGTTGTTTTCTTTTGGTTTTGGTCTCTAAGCCAAACTGCGACCCTGTGCTTACATCAGGAAAGGGGCTTGATCTGTCGCCCCTAACCAACGTACCTCCCACCACGTGCCAGGATTCAGTGCTTTTACCTCCACACTCCCGAGCTCTCCCAGTCCTCCGCGCCCAGCTTCCCAGAACCAAGCGATTCTCTTTAATAAATACACAGAGGGAGAAGGTGTGAAGAGAATGGAACAGCTTTGTAACAATTGAAAACGTTAAAGCGCCATCTTTTAAGGGAGAGAGGGAGACAGGGGAAATATTTTTTGCTTTTGTTTTATATATGTATATATATATATATATATGTATACTGTATATATCTTAAAGTTCTGTTTCCTGGGCGCTAAGATTTGAGATATGCTCAGTTCTCAACAGCAACTAACAAGTGGTCCCTGGAACGGACCCGACAATACACAGCGTTTCCGCCGAGGCGAAAGCGCAAGCCAGCTCTGCGCAGGGCGGGGCTGGACGCGGGCTTGCGCTTTGGAGGCTGAGAGCGCGCTCCCGCGGGCCTTGCCCCCAAGAATCCCAGCCAGCAGAAGGAGAAAACGCGAGGAAGCTCTGGCCTGCAGGAGAGGAGTGGGACCCAGGGCAGCTGAAGGGGCGGCAGTCTTCAAGAAACACTTAGTGGTTGTTTGGATTTGGAGTAGTATGTGGGTGCAGAAACACCACGCCAATGGGCATAAACACGCCAGTTAGTGACTCCAAGCGTCCAGAAGAATAAATAAAAGTGTTGGGCTCAAACAGTGGGTTAGAACGAAGAGCCTCCGGAGGCTGCAAGTGCATACATAAAAGCCGTCCATAAAGACTGGAAGGGGATCTTTAGGCAGTTTGGTGAGGGTGAGGGTGAGGGTGGGGGTGGAGGTGGGGGTGGGGGGGTGGAGATGAAAACACACGCAGCTCCAGCACTTAGAACCATTGAGCCAAGCCGAGCACCGGATCCACCTCCAAGGAAGGGGCGGGTTTGCACACACACACCCCCAAGCAAATGGCAAGAAGATGGGGGCAGTAGTGCAGGCAATGGGCATCTTTTGGGGTCGTGAAAATCTTGAGAAGTCGAGGCAAAGGCGGAGGGTGCAGCAGCAGCAACAGGACAGGGACCACAGAGGGCGCAGGTAGTTGCGTTTCTTCTCTTCCTTCTACTCATGGGCTCACAAGACCTGGAACCGCCACGAGGCTTGGTCCTTATAGTCCAGACAATCGGTCGAGTTGAAATTGAGTTTCCAGGCAGAGGAAGCAGTGGCAGCCCCAGGCTCCTTGTAATCCAAGCAGTCAGCAGAATTGAAGGCGAGCCCGGAGCCGCCATAGCCCTGGTGGTGGTGATGGTGGTGATGGTGGTGATGACCTGATGACTGGCTCAGCGGGTGGTGTGCGTGCGGGTGGTGGTGATGGTGGCCCGCCATCGAAGAGGGTGCCATGGGGCTGAGTTGGTGCGGGTGGTGATGTGAGTGCATGGGAGCTAAGTATGAGCTGCAGTCCACGCCGCCAAAGTAGGAAGAGGAAGGCGCAGGGTACCCTTGACTGTAGCTGCCGCCCTGGCCGTAGGACATGGGATAGGAGGCCGCGGCCGAAGCGGCGCCTGCGGCTACCGAGCGCTGCATACAGGATGCGTTGCTAGGCGCGGCTAGGGGCTCGGGCACCGACACCGACGCTGGCGCAGAGCCGGGCGAAATGGAGGCCGGGCTCCAGATGGACGAGGCAGCCGGCGTGCTCAGTGACGACGCGGCTGCCACCGCCGGGTTCCCGCCCAGGCCCGCCGCTGCTGCAGCCGCTGGGTTGGCGGAAGCGCTGGACCCGGAGCTAGAGGATGAGGCGGAGCTGGACACAGCAGGTGGCGTGAATTGGCCGCTACTTTCGGAGCCCGAGCTCTCCCGCACCGGGGAAGACTTCTTCTTGGCCGGGCGGTTCTTGGTCCCGCTCCCACTCTGCTGCTGCTGCCGGCATTTGGCTCGGCGGTTCTTGAACCACACCTGCAGCGGGCGGGCGCGGGAAAACGAGTCACGAAGGGTGAGGGAGGCGGGCCGAGTGGAGCCCCATCCTTGGACCCACCACCTTGGCTAGGATCTCGCATCCCTCTCTACCAAGGCCTCCGTCCTTCCCCTCCCCCAGACGTCCAGAAGCTATGCCCACGTTCCCAGCTCCTCCACCCGCCCCCATCCTTTTCTCAAAGCCCCTCCTCTACTGTCTCTCGGGGAGGGTGGCCGGCATCCCACCGCCATGCAATTCTGCCCCAGAGAAGGACGTATACTGTCCAGTAAGAGTTTCTGACAAACTGCTGTTGGCTGCTTCCCACACCCCACAATAGGGGCCTGCCCTTCCGCCCCAAGGATGCTTGGAGGACCTGTCTGCTACGAACAGAGCTCAAGTGACGAGAAACACACAGGGCAGGCATCAAGAGTGTGGCTAGGCCCTTTCGCTGGAGTTGGCAGGCGACTATTTTGGGTAAGAACAGAAGTAGGACAGAGAAAACGGAACAAATGAAGTTTTCAGGGGAACTCGGGAAGTAAGACTGGAAGGAATTTCGTTGAGCTTCTGGGATGTAGGTGGGAAACCAAATGAGACGGTCAGTCCATAAAGTTCTCTCTCCTTCCTGTTGGAGAGCCCCGGAACACAGCATTGCATTTCTGGTCCTTTTTTGAGCCTCCAGGGAAAGAAGGCGAGATAAAAGTCCCTTAAGGAGAGTTCTGAGTTAAAATTCGAAAAGTATCTTACGGGTCTTTTCATCACAAAAGGAGCACTGATGATGCAGTAGCTAAGTGTGGGGTCCTAGGTTCAAGCCCACCAGACGCTCCACGTAAAGACCTACAGCCTTGGAAACCCTATGGGGGCAGTTCTACCCTGTCCTACAGGGTCGCTATGAATCTAAATGGATTCAACCACATGGGGTTTGGTTTCAACACAAAAAAAAGAATTCGCAAAACCCACAGCCGCGTTTTGCGCCCGGAGCGCCCTCCCAAGTCAATCTCCGACCTTCCAGTTCCCAGATCCGGGAGATGTAAGGCAAGGGCACAGGCAGAATTCAGGCCGGCGAGGGAAATCGCTAAATCCTGGGGCAACCGAAGAAGTCGGGTTAAGTGTCAGGACCTACTAGACACATTACATTAGGGCGCTTCGCTCGACCTTCTGCAGTCCTAAAAAGGGCTTTAGATACCGAAGCCCGATCCAGGGCTCAAAGCCGTTTCATTTAGCTTTGCCCCTCTTCTGGCCTAGGCCCAGCGCTAGGGGGAGTCTGAGGCTGCCCAGGCTGTAAGTCCGCCCCCACACCGACCACTCTGCCAGGCTTGGAAAACCTTTATCGGTCTTGGCCCTATCCGACCACCCCCCACTCCCACCCCCCTGGCCATACTCTGACTCTTGGAACCTCGGATGTGCACACCTGGACTCTAGACTCCGGCAGGTTGATCTTGAGCGCCACCTCCTCACGCATGAAGATATCAGGGTATCTAGTCTTGGCGAAGAGCGCTTCGAGCACGTCCAGCTGTGAACGCGTGAAGGTAGTGCGCTCCCGCCGCTGCTTCCTTGGTGTAGCTGCGAAGACACGAAGGGGCGTCTCGGTCAGCGGTGGCCACGCGGCCCCGCGCGAGAGAACGCGGGTAGGCCCCTAGCAGTACCAGAGTCCGGCCGTCGTATGGAAAAGCCGAGCCCGGAGTGAAAGAAACTCTCCAAGAGGGGCGAGCCTGACCGACCACAAGTGGGAGAAAAGTTGCTCCAAGGCGCCAGGGCTGTGTCCTCTCCCTGTCTCCCAAAGGTTAAAAAAGAAGTCACTATTTAGTGACTCCACTCCTCAACATCTCCTTTCCCAACACAGGCTGACTGGGGGTAGGGTAGGGGTGCACAGAAATACGATCTGAAAACACCTTCTAAGGTAATAAATGGGGGTTCAGTAGTGGGAGCTGGAAAAGGAACCCAGTTTTCTGATCAAACTCCACTTCAGCAATGTAAGAGTGAGTACAGGCCACAGGTCCAGGGGCGTGCAATTTAATTTGGAAAGGAGAATCACCCTCAGCTCAACCTGCAGAATCCCATAAGCGAAGTTACGCCTTAAAGCCAAACTCTCCATTAGAACCTATCGAGACTCCAGATATTCTCATTCATTGCTGGGGGTAAAAACGTGATTCGATCCACAAAAATAACAGCCACCCGAGGGTTATGAATCCAGGGGTAAATGCGCACTGCGCAGGCAGTGGGAGCACTACAGAAGGCAGGTTGTCCGCGTGGCCAGATTGGAAGGGCACACAATACACGTTTTCGTTGCCGGATCCATCTCACCCACACCATGACTCTCTGGTGTGAGCCTTCAGCCGGCTTTGAATTGTAAGCAGACTAGGAAACCGGCTTCCTAGGCCTGCTCCGCAACAGATCTGTGCACAGATCTTAGAAACTTGGGATCCCCAACGTTTGCCAAGGCTGGGGGGCCAGGAGGGCCGGTGCTCACCCGGATAGCCCACGGAGGGGTGCAGCAGGTCCATGGCCGGCCCAGCTAGGCCCAGCCCATTCATGCCATATGGGGGTTGTTTGAGGTAAGACATCATGCTAACAGCCGGGTGGAGGCGCCCCGACGGATCCAGGAGGTCGGGGGCCTGGCGCGGTGCGGGGTTCCCACCGCGCAGTTCTTCGAGCTGTTTCGTCCCGGGGGCCCCGGCCTATGGAGACACGACATGGAAACCGTCAATCGGAACGACCCAGCTCCCAGATAGCGTTTGAAGTCAGTAGTCTCGGGACTGCACAAGGCCAAGGTCAACTCGACTTCATAAGGCCTAAGCCCAGAAACCACGCTCTTTTCGAAAAATAAACTTTTCTGGATCCTTACTGCTTCTCTAGGGTTTGGGGGAAAGACACTCGTAGAGCGGTACTGGGAGTGAGGAAAGGCTAAAAACTAGGCCAGGCTGAGAAGCTGTCAAGCCGGAGCTCTAAGTCCAGAAGACCGAAAGAGGAGTCTCAAGTCTAAGCAAAATTTTCAGTCCGACGGGAGCCAGCCTTCAGCTCAACAAGCAAACGTTCACTCAGTTCCCCGACTTCGGGCTGCCCGGAGCATGAGGACTAGACTGCTTTGTTTCTAATGTTTTCAAAGCTGGACGAAAAGGTAGAGAGACTCCAGAGGGCCAAGGTGAAGCACTGCGGAGAGCTAGCCTTCCCTGGCCTCTCCGAGTCGCATAGCCCACTTGAAAGACTTGGTTCCTCCAAAGGTTTCCGCAGCTGTGGAAACCCCAGCCACCCCTCTAGCTGACCTCTGTTCCCAGGCGCTGAAAGATCGCTCCCCTGAAATCCCACCACAACTCAACCGCAGTTACCCACCCAGGTGTGGCTGATGCGGCCAGAAGATACAAGGGTGGGGGACACTGTAGTGGTGGTGGGTCCAAGAGGCGGCCAGAGGTCGCAGGTGCCTCTGCTGCGGCCTCGCGCCCTTCTTCAGAAGCGCGGGCCGGGCCTTCCTTCTGCCGGGTCCTGGCTACAGACAATGGGAACCGGGCTAGGGCTCAAAGGTGACCCGGCTCAGTGCTCCAAAGGGCCTCGGGGAATTGGGAGACTTGGGTTTAGCTAGTCTCGTACGCCCCTCGCCCCCCCTGCCTATCCTACGCCCTGTACCCCGCGGCTCCAGGATCTGATCGAAACTAAAGAACTAGGCCTCAGAGGCGTAGACCGCGCTACTCTTGACGAGAAAGTCGAAGTCTCGCTTTCGCAGTTGCCCGGAACCTGAGGCGCTACTCCTGGGGGTCAGCAAATGGCGGTGGGAATGGGACAAGACCCAGGGGCCCTGTAGCTTTATCCCGCTTCGCGGGAACTCTGTAAAGCAGGCCTTGAGAGCTGGACTAGGAAGTTCAGCGAGAGAAGTTTGAGCCAAAGAAGCCCTCGTCCTCCGGGACCCTTGGTTTGCAGGGCTTGCAGGGAAGGAGAGAAGGAGGAAAACAGCTTTGGGTTCTTGGGCCGCGGGAGAACGGGACTTCAGCCCGGACGGTTCTGTTAGGCTGCAGCAGTCTTTTCGGACTTTCATCGGACTTTCACCAAACTTAACACTTCAGCTCACTGACTTCGGAGGAGGCGGGGGATAGGGTGGTGAGGGGGGAGATGGAGCACAGGACTGTAGCCGCGCTCTGGGGCCCTCCGCTCACCTACAGGGGCGCCAAGACGGTCTCACGGCTCCGCCCCATCCCCCCCAGCCTGAGACCAGTGTAAACCCGGACCCAACTGAGGAAAGGGACGCCAGAGCACCCGACGCGCTTCTCGTATCCCGGGAGTCCCCTGGTTGTCTCCTTACCTGCCCTCAGCTGCCGCGGCCGCTCACCATCTACCTCGTGCCCTCACCGAGACCCGCTGGGCAGCCAACCTGCAAAACAGAGGGGCGCAGGAATTACCCGCCGGACTGGGCGCGGCTGGTCTAGGACCCCTGATTTGTTTCTTTTCCCAACTTCACTCTTCCCATCTCTTTCTTCTCTCCCAGGGGCTTTATGTGTTTCGCTCCAGGTTACATTTTATTGCACAGACACTTTGTTTGCAAAACCCCACACGCTCCTAAGATCCAGGCTCTGCGGGGATCGCACCGAGGGGCTGCAAAGGGGGAGGGGAGGGAGTACACAGAGCAGAGTTGGAAGGAGGCTGGTCGCTGCCGCTGCACTCCTAGGGCAGCACGGAGGTGGTGGGGCTGGGGAAGTCTTGCAGAGGCACTTTGCAAACTAAATAAATCAAGCGATTTACCTTGTCGGAGTGGCTTGTCTTGCTCGGTTGTTTAGGTGATTGGAAATGTAGCCTGATGAAGATTGATCACCTTTCTACTGCCCTCCCCGAGTATGTGAACGCGAGGCGAGTGCGTAACGGGGTTGGGCCGCCAATCCTGGGCCCAGCTTGGACTGAGTGACAGGGAGCCGGGCAATGGCAGCTCGAGCCGAAGGTTACCTCCGCGCGCCCCCGCCCCCGCCCTCCCCCGCCCCCTGCGCCCCGCCCTCCCCTCCCGGCCGCCCCGCCCCGACCGCGCGCTAACTCCAGGACTCGGCTGCCAAAAGCCGAGCAGAGTTAGGCGAGGGAGGCGAGCGCACAGCCGGAGTCCCAGCCGCTCAGGGGCGCGGGTCCCGGGGCCTGTTTCGGGGCCCCCGCCTCTCTCCTGCCTTTCTCCCGCCCTCTCGGCGCTCGCGAGGGAGTGGCGGCAAGGAGACGAGGTGCTGGAGAACCGGTTTCATCGCTCCCACGCGCGCCCACCGGGCTCCGCGGCCTTGGTGTAGGCGCGAGGACTCAGGGGCCGCCGATTAGAGAAGCGCGGGCCCCCAGCCCCTCTCGCGGGGTCTTGGGCCCCAGCGCCTCCTTCCCAGCGCCAGCGCCGTCACCTGCAGACGGACGCCGCGGGCGACTCGTGCCAGCGCAGGCAACTTTGCGGAGCGTGAGAGCAGCTCCTAGTGTGCAGATCTCCTCTCGGTGCCTCAGGACTCTTGGGGCCGGGGAATGGCACCGCCGGGGAAACACCGCAACATACCTGCTTCGCGGTGTTTCGGGTCTCCCTTAAGGGTGTTTTTAGATCTTAAACTCTTCTTCTGAAACGTTGGAGCCCAGCATCCCTCCCCGCCCAACATACATGTAACTCCTCTAATGAATCGAAACTTTCTCTTTCTCACTAAGTTTCTCACTTCTTTCCCATTTTCATCTAACATGGGTACTCTTGTGGGAAACGTGGCCACAGGCCCTTAGCCTCAATTTATTTCCCCCATGACGCAGAAGTAGCCTCCTAGAGGCGTTTCCCCCGGATTGTTCGTATTAGCGAAGCCCATTTCCCAGTTGAACAAACTTCTCAAACATGTCCACCTTGGTAGACTTTTCAAAGCGGAAGGGGGGTGGCGGGCGGGGGGGGGAGTTGAGTGTTTTCCCAGCCCAGAGCAAGCCAGTTCTTTTAAGTAGCAGCTCTTCGGAATATTCGGCAGGACTTTACTCCTTTCGAGAAGCTACCCTTTGCTTTCTAATCCGCCCACTCCAACATGCAGAGTGAAAAGTTTGAAGAGAAATAAGTGAGTCAAAGAGCCGATCTGCGCATCGCGGTGGGACAGCCAGCGCGGTCCGGGTGGTGGGGTCGGGCGCTGGCGAGAAGGAAGAGGAAGGGGCAGCCAGCAGACAAAAAAAGGGCCGGGGCTGCAGTTCATCCAAGTGCTTCCCCCTCCCCCCAAGCGACACTTTCGTTTGGAGTTCGAATAAAATACGGTAACAGAATATGATGGAGGGCATACTGTTTCTTAACTGCTTCTCAAAGAACCCGGGAGATCTTCTTAGGACCTTTAATAAGGCTTTGGTCGGTTCTTTTGTTGATCTCTCAAAATCAACTCCTTCTAATTGAAGTTGGAGCTGAAAGCGAGCTAATGTTCAAAGAAAGTGGCCGCCAGACCAACGAAATTACATTTTTTTTTTTTTACGATGAGGGAACATCTAATCAAAGGCGCAGCGAAGGAGGGGTGGAACTGGGGGAGTACGAAGGAGAAAAGGAGGTTTTACAAGATCCTTCTCTGGTTCACAAAAGTCAGCGACACGGGCGCTTCTCTCCAGAACAAAGACGCCGCTGCCCATTCACAAAAGGGAGAGAAAGAGAGAAAGTAGAATAAAAGAACGAGAGGAAAGGGAAAAAACATGAGGAGGGGGGGAGCTTTACAGGAAAAGAAACTGCGCAGAGCGCAGCGTTGGCCCTGGTCCGGACACACCTCAGGCTCCCACAGGCCCCCGCCGACAACAGTCCCAGCGGCCAGCGGTCAGCAGTCCGCGTCTTGGAGCCCCTGAGATGGTGCTGAGGCTTAAAGAATGAATCGAAAGACATCCCTGCCTCCAGTTCCGGGGCCAGGAGCCGCCTGGAGCTCACTAGTTTCAGGGGAGGGAAGTGTGCGAACGTCCTGGAACGCGCGCCGGCCGGCGTCTGCATCCGTAACCCTAAACTGCCATCCCGGCCTGCGCTCTGTATGTCCAGATTGGCCCGCCCGCGCCATGGTGTGTGCTCTTGCCCCAGAACCGCAACATTTCGGCCTCCTGCCTCCTCCCGGCCCTGTTTCGCCTGCAGCTGTAGTCTCGGTCCAGGACCGGCGCGGCACGGTGGGGAGGCCGTGCGCTCTGGAATGTACCAGAGCGGTCCCCAGGGCCAGCGGCACGGTAACTCTGCATGCTCGACTCCAGATGCTGCCACTGGTTTCGGGGAAGTCGAGAGGTATCAAGTAGCAAGGATTTTTTTTTTTTTTCTAATGAGAGTATTTATCTAATCCTAAATTGCAGGCGAATTTTCTTAATGCTCAGCCCTTAAAACCCCGGGATTAAGAGAAGAAAAAGAGAGAGAGGAGAGGGGAGAGGGAGGAGAGTGGAATAGGAGAGACAGACAGATGAAAGTTTCCTGTATACGATGCAGAGGACTGAGGCGGCCGTCGCTAGGCAAATGTCCAGGTGGGAAATTCTGGGCCAGAACCTGCGATCATTCCAGCATCGAAGAGAGGGGAAGACGGAGGGAACCCAATTCAAGGCCCATGGGCCTGGGAGGGGGGCAAGGAAACTGGGCCCCAAGGCCCGAATCCCTCACCAGGCG